AGGTGGGAGCAGGGTGATCAGGAGTTCAAGGCTAGCGTGGAACACATGAGACCCTGACTTAAAAAAAAAAATAGACAAAGCAACCTGCACTCGTGGGTCCTAGAACCCAAAACCCATGCATGAATGAATGCGTACCAGGGCATTATTTAATTTTCCAGGCCACCTTCTCAGGTCGGGCCCTCTCCTGGGAGAGGAGCGGCGCGTGGGAGCGCAGGAAGGAGCCTGGGAAGTTTCCGTCTGTCAGGCGCCTGTGTTTAACGAGGGGGTGGCAGCCTATTTATAAGTGGGCCCCCGCGCGGGCAAACAAGTCTGGCGACATACGTGAAACTTTTCACCCAGCAGGTAATAAGATACTGTGCGACCGTGGAAACAGCTCGAGAGCAGAGAGAGCAGGGAGCTTCCCCGGGAAGGCGGCGGGGCGCTCAGGGCGCCCCGGGCCCCGCGCGGCCGTGCGCACCTGGGCCGCGTCCGCATCCCCGAAGCCCGGCCCCGGCAGCTGCGCGGCTTCCGGTCACCTGCGCCGCCCGCGCCGCGGAACCCACAACCGTCCGCGCAGGGCCGAGCGCGCCGAGGGCCGCCCCGCACCGCCGCCGCCCGCCCTGCCCGCGTCCGCGCTCGCCTGCGTCTTGTCGAACTGCTCGCGCTCGGCCTCCAGGCTGTGGCCCGGCCTCCGGCTCAGCACCCGCGCCGGCACGTTCTTGATGCTGTTCATGTTGCCGCCGACCGTGTCCCGTGTCCCGGCTCCGCGCGAATGAGGCGTCGCCGCCCAGCCCGAGCCTAGGCACCCGGAGGCCGCGCGCCGCGCCACGCGGGGAGGAGCCGCCGCCCCTCCCGCCAGCCACTCGGGCAGTCCAACCGGCGCCCCGCCCTCCCCGGCTCTGCACGCTCCGCCCCCGCCCCCTCCGGCCCCCCAGGACTCCTGGCGTGCCCCGCCCCCTGCATCCCCTGAGCAACCCTAGGACTCCGGGTAGCCCGGGCCCTGCACCCACCTTGGTCCCTTAGGACTCCCGGGACACCTTGCCCTGCACCCCTCTGTCACCCAGGACGTTCTGCCCTGCTGCTCTCTGGTCCCCCGGGACGTCCTACCCAGCACCCCTCCCTGAACCACAAGACCCTGCTTCGTCCCCCGGGACTCACTGGGAATACCCTTTGCATATCTGTCCCCACCTCCTTGCACACCTCTAGCTCCCCAGACCTCCCCAACACACCCCGCCCCCTGACGGACCAAATACCTACTCTTTGCTTTATACCTTCTTCTGCCAAACCTTGCCCCCCCCCCCCCCCCCGTCTCCCTTTACAATCGCGGGGGTGGGGGGAACTGGAGCAAATTGGGTCTCCTTGTGTTCAGTCAGTAGCCACACCGCCAGGCTTCTTTGTCTTTTTGGTTGAGCCCAGCCATCTCTCCAGCCCCTCTGTTACAGGAAATGCTACATTGAATCAGATACCTGACCATCGCTTCCCAGGTTAGATGAAGCTCTCTGAAGACCCAGAGGGACCGTTTCTTTGTCATTGCTAATTCCTCCCTGTGCTGACGTCTGCTGAGTTGGACAAGGCTCTCTTCGATACTATGAGACTAGCCATGCTCTATCTAATACCGATCATTGAAAAGCTTTTTTGCTAGAATAACAATAGAGTAACAACAACAGCCAATATTTACTATACATTTATTTGCCAGGTATGGGGCTAAACCCTTTATATGTATTATCCCTAATCCTCAGCAATTCGCTAAACGACCATGGTATAAATAAATAAATAAATAAATAAATAAATAAATAAATAAATAAATAAATAAATAAATAAATGTCTTCCTCTGTGCCAGCCGTCTCTCTGACTTCTTCTCACATGGGACAAAACCAATTCTTCTGTAATTTTGATGCATACACCAGGCCACAGTCCCCACGGCAGCTTGTCATCAGACACGCCCATTCTTTTCAGTAAACAGAGGCATTAGTGTGCTAGGCGTGGTGCTCGCCACGCAGTCATCAGGATTGCAGGATCTCATTTAACCAAGTTTTGGAGGTATTTGTACAGACTAAGAAAAAGGTTTAAAGAGGTTAGGACAGCTCCGAAGTTCAGCCCGGGTTCATACAACTGCAAAATGATGTTTTCAGGATGTGGTCTCCGGTCTGCTGGTTTCAAGCCGGCGCACTCTGACAAGCACACCAATGACGTGATGCTGGAGTCTCTCTAGCTTTTACTCAAGAGCTGTTGAGTTTCTGGAGGTCAAGGTTGCCTTGTGTCACCAGCATTCTGCTCTCCACGCCGGGCGGAGCACCTGGTACGTGGTCATGTTTTTTGTTTTGTTTTGTTTTTAAATGGGTATGAGGGTCAGCAATTTGGGTCTATAGGTAAAGGTGCCTGCTGCCAAGCTTGATGAGAGTTCAATGCCCGGGACCACCACGATGGACAGAGAGAGATAACTCCTGTGTGTTGTCCTCTTGACCTTTATTTTCAAGCTGTGGTGTGCACATGTACACATATACAAAATAAACATATAAATAAAATTTAACTTTAAAAAATGAGTGTGAGGACAAGCGTGGTAGCACACACCTTTAATTCCAGCACTTGGGAGCCAGAGGCAGCTGGCCTCTATGATTATGAGGCCAACCTGGTCTATACAGTTAACTAAAATAAAAGTGGTGGAGCGTAAAACGAAGGTTTGAAAGAATAAACCAGCCCCAGAGAACAGAGCGAAAACTTTACTCTATGGCTTATGTCGTAAATGGGCATTCCTGGGGGTACAAAGATGCAAACTCAACCCCTTTGATTAATTAAGATTCATCTCTAGACATCTTCAGCAAAGGGACCTGGTCCATGACTGGCTGTCACTAACAGGCTGTGAATCCCCTCATACAGCTGTTTAATCGTCCTCCAGGGGGATACGATAGACCCCATGTGGGAGAATTTAGGAAGACAGCACAGTTTTACTATGCGGTAATAGCCACTGCCTGCCTGACACACAGGTAGGATCCACCTCGCCCCGCTCTGGTTTCATCTTGCGCCATCCCGGACTACCACGTCTGTACAGGCATCATGTTCCTTCCGGAGCCCCAGGGACCTTGCACATGCTGTTACTATACCTGGAATTTTCTTCCTGTTTGCCTGATGGGTGTCTGCTCATCTGGCAGCTCTTGGTGCAGATGCTAGTTCTCTAGGAAGCCTCCCTGATGCCTCCACCCCGACCTCTGTCCCAGAATCTCAGCATTCTACTTCCCAGCACCAGTCTTCCCTGGGATTACTTACGGTCTACTACTAGAACGTAAGCAGGGCTTACGGTTATCTCCCTGACTGGCAAAGCTGCACATAGAGAATGTGTGAGTACCATGCGGGGAAAGTGCTCTATCGCTAAGCTCCAGCTCCAGCCCCCTTTTTACTTTATGTTTTGAGATGGGGTCTCACTAAAGTTGCCCGTGATGGACTTGAACACACCTGTAGTCTAAGCAGGCCTTCAGTTTGCCATCCTCCTGCCAACCTCCCCAGTGGATGGGGTTACAGATCCTTGTTTGTTTTAAGCAGCACTTGGCTGAGAACCCAGAGGTCTCACTGTGCACCCAACAGACTCTTCTGGAAGACCACCCATTTCAAGCTGATGCATGTGTCTGGCATCTTAGTTGACTTATACACTGTTCTTCAGAACTCAGAGTTACTAGCTAGGATCACCCTTCTGGAGGCTTAAGTGATGAACCTTCCTGCCATGTGCACTACCAAAATCACATCCACTGTCTTCAAGGAAAGAAAGCTAGAGGCATGACCAGCAGAGGCTTACAAACCAGGGACACAGAAGAAACTACGAGTCACTCCTTGGCCTCATACTACATAGTCTCAGTTCTAAGCATCCTCTTGGCACCTTTGGGTAAACTGCTTTAAGTATTTACATATAATCTTGATTCAGAATTTCTTTTGGAGGGGGTGTTTCTAATTCTGTTTAAAAGGTCTGTTCAGAAGTTCTAAAAATACCCTGTATCAGTCTTTTCCAATGCTGAGATCATTTCTGGCAGACATTATAGTGTAATTCAGTTGCCTCTTGATATATGCTGGTCTTAGAATGATAATGACAAAATGCAAATCCTTAAGACTAGTTCATCTTGCTACTATTTCCTACATACACGAGAAAGTGCTCCTATATAAATATAACATGTCAAGACAGAGGAGTTGGTCATATTAAAACCTGCCATTCTGAATTTTGCTAATTAATTCGTAATATTTTTGTTGCATAAGAACAGGTGTTGTAAAGCTCGGCATGGTGGTATACTCCTGTCATCCCAGCACTTGAGAAACTGAGGCAGGAAGATCACAAGTTTGAGTACATAGGTATCATAGATATTTCAAGCCTATAAACTAAACTTACATTTAGCTATAAAATAATGTAGTATTTCAAATCCTGTTCTACCCTAAGTTTTCCTACGGAGCATCTAATTGATGTTCCCTGTCTGCAGGCAAGTGGAGAAGCAGCCGTGAGCCTATCACACAAAATAGCTTGGAACCTGGGGCCTCTCCAAAGGCATTGTGGGTTTCCCATTTGGCAAGGGCTGGCTCAGAATCAGCTCTGCATTCGGTTTCTTGCCAGCACCCTCATCACAAAGGTGAGCCGAGCAGCTTTCCTTCTCATGAAAACCATCTCTCAAGAAACCCTGAAGTCTCTAACAAAGGGACATTGACCCAGCACAATACACCTGAAAAGAATACTTTCCTGAGAAATTAACTTGCCAAGATGCATTCAAAGTTCCTTGTTAGCTGGGCAGTGGTGGCACACACCTTTAATCCCAGCACTTGGGAGGCAAAAGCAGTCAGATCTCTGTGAATTCAAGGCCAGCCTGGTCTACAGAGCTAGTTCCAGGAGAGCCAAGGCTATATAAAGAAACCTTGTTTCAAAAAACCAAAAATACATAATAAAGTTCCTTGTTTTAGTCTTGCATAGTAAAAGGAAACCAAAAACTTATTTTTATTATTAAAAATACTTTTATTGAGTGAAACGGATCAGTTCTGGTAGAAGGGAGAAAGGCAAATAGTGCAATTTTTTTAAAAAAAATATTTTTTTAAAGTTAAAATAGAATTTTTAGTCTTCAATGTATTTTTAAAAATCTATATAAAACTTGATCTTCCAGCAAGTGCTGTCTTGTGTAAGTGAACTGCCTACTACAGAGCCAGACAAGATGCAGCTGTCGCCTGAGGACTGACTGGCCTTAACTGCCAGCAAGGTGCCAGTGTCCCATTGCAAACATTTTACACCCTCTTATCTCACGCCCATCCACACAACAAAGTCCAGCGCCAAAACCATAAGAGAAGAAAACACTACATCACACACTGGGAGCTGACTCTGAGAAGTGAAGTTGTCATGTGAATATAGACCCAGGTTTTCAGGAGGCATCAGCTCGAGCAGCACTTGACATGCACGGGTTCTCAGTACCGGGTTTAAAGAGCTTCTCTGGTATTAATCCATGTCTGCATCTTGACAGAGTTTTTCATTCTTTCTTTCAGCATAGTTTCAAACATGTGTGTAGAGTAAGACCTCATTTCTTTGGCATGGAAATATTTTTTACACAAAAATGGTTCATCAAAAACAAAATATAGTCGCTTTAAAAAGTAAACTTTGGGATTCTGCTGCCTTTGTAATAAAGGCTGCTTCTGTGAGAATCACAATCCTCTTTGTCTTCAGGTGAAGTATGGTATCCACTTTCTGCCTTCCAGTGAGAATCCTGCTTCTGGGAGAGAACAAAAGCAGTCAACAAAACGAGAAGGAAATAGCACTGCACAGCGCCTAGGAGTTCCTGGCGTCTGAGACCTCAACTACACATCCTGGCTCTACTCAGCAAGGCTTCACGCTGTACTACATATGTGAAACCTTCCCAGCAATGAGACTGGGGGGGGGGGACAGAAGGGCGAGGGGGAGGCAGGCAGAGCTGCTCAGATGTTCTGCCTTCCTACTGAAGACTCCTGTGCTTAACGGGAGACACCTGTGGCGCCTATGCCCCTGTCCACACTTGGAATGAGGGTCTGATGGAAGCAAACGGAACCCAAGAAAGTGCCTCCTGGGCTCACAAAGGTCCAAGTCACAGGACTCTTTCTAGACAGACATCCAGAAGCAATCCACAAATGTAAACTTAGATGCCTTTTGAAATTTGTATTTTCTGGGTCAGGGTCTCACTAAGCGAAGCCCAGGTTGACCTCCAGCGCCTCATCTTCCTTTCTGCTTCAGTCTTCCTAACTTCCGAGGAGCAGTAGAAACACCACGGTGTATTCTACTATGTGTCTGGCCTCGAGTTCGCCCCACCCCATTTTTTCCTTTTGAGGCAGGGTCTCACTAGGTTTATCTGATGCCTTGGACACGTAATCCTGCCTGCATCAGCTTCCCCATAGGGATTGCAGACTGTGGCTGAAGCCCAACTAACCAGCTTTTTGTTGTTTTTCAAGACAGGCTTGTGTGTGTGTGTGTGTGTGTGTGTGTGTGTGTGTGTGTGTGTGTGTGTGTGTGTGTGTGTAGTCCTGGCTGTCTTGGATTTTGCTTTGTAGACTGGGCTTGAATTCACAGAGATCCATCTGCCTCTGCCTCCTGAGTGCTGGGATTAAAGGCGTGTGCCACTATTTCCTGGCTAAGATCCCAATTTTTAAAGTTGGATTTATACGCCAACTTCCTTAGATATAAAATTATCAGTATTAAGAACAAAACAATTTTGGTCTGTATTTCTCTTACAAGTATTTGGCATTCTACTCAAGTTAACTGTGGTAAAAGTAGATCAGGCAAAAGAGGAAGAATTACTGGTCAGATGAGTGTGTAGCCTTGACTACATTATCAACGTTCCCAGTTACTTATTAATATCAACTCTGATATAAGGCGAGACCAGCAAAGGTGACCTACACATAGCCACAGTGAATGTCCAAGTTGACTTTGTTTCCTTCAATGACTGACAAGGGTGTTTTTGTCTTCTGGCTCTTCTGAGACTTCTAATTTCTAGAAAACAACTCCAGAATTAGTATCCAGGTTACAGAAATTTAAAAATACTTTAGACAACCAGACACACACACAGCAGGAATGCCTTTCAAAGGCCTTAGAGGGACTGGTGAGATGGTTCAGAAAGAGCGAGTTCCAGGACAGCCAGGGCTACACAGAGAAACCCTTTCTCAAAACAAAACCAAAAATGTTAACATGGACAGGTAATCCCAGAGCTGCAGGATGCAGAGAGGTTGATCATTGACCAGGCAGACTAGCCTACTTGGTGAGCTCTGGGATGTGTCACCATGCCTGACCACTTTTTTGGTTTTTTGAGACAGGGGCTCACTTTGTAGCCCAGGCTGGCCTTAATCTCATGATCCTCTAATTTTGGAATTACAGGCATAAATCTTAAGCTTATAAATAGAATGTCCAGTCCTGTGTATTAATCACAATGCCACGCTTGGTCTAGGGCTGAGTTGCCCCGTTCTCAGTTACAGTGAGGGGTGGCCCTGGGTGTGGCCAGCAGTACTGCAATTTACTCTTTCCTTTTTTCTGTCTACTTACTGGGGTTCTGCTGTTATTGTTGTTATTGAATAGTTCATACATTCACACTGGTTGAAAAACCAAATAATATCTAACAATGGGGTCAGTGAGGTGTCTTTAGCAGCTAAAGGTTCCCACCAGCAAGCCTGACAACCTGAGTTGGACCCCAAGGATCCACATGGTGGAAGGAGAGCTGTCTTCTACAAGCTGTCCTCTGAGCCCGCCCACGAGCTGTTGCACCAATCAACTGTTCACTAACACCATAAGAGAGCACACATGAAGGAGTGTGGTCTGTCCCTCTGCGGCCTGCTGTCCCTGTCCCGTGTAAACAGGCTCTCTGCTATTATGCAAAGCTAAAAGGAAAACCTAGAGTTGCGCCATTTTGTAGCCATGCAGAAGTCCCTGGGAGAGTCACAAAGTGACAGTGCTTGTCAAAGGACAGGAGCCTTGCAGTTGGAGCCCCCCAGTGTGGCAGGAGAGCGTCTGTCCACAGAGTCGCTGCGCTTGTCTTTAGCTGTGGATGGCGGCCTCAGAGCGGGGAGCTGCTGCTCAGAACATTGCCCTGCTTCCTTGTTGCAAAAACAAGCATTTTTAAAAAATATTTTTAGCATTTTTTTTTAAATAAAACTGTTTGCTTTTCCTATTTCTAGCGTTAGCAAGTTCAAAGGAATGGGGGGAAAGTGTGTGAAACTTGTTACCAGGTACATTTCTGTTTCCTGACATCTCCAGAACCAGTTAATCCATCCGAAAATATTCTGTTTGGAGCCAGTGTTTTTGTTTTTTGTTTTCTTCAGTTAACTGATTTTCTGATCCTGGCTGTGGAATGCTGAGTAATGGGTTTAATCACCTTTCCTCATCTATAAAGTGAGGTTGAGGGGAGGGAGTGGGAACTTGGATTGGTATGTAAAATGAAAAAAAAAGTTTGTTTTTCTTTTTTTAAAAAAAGAAAAAAAGTGAAGTATTAGGATTAGATATTTCTTCTGGGTCTTCTCAACTCAAAATTCTTTCACCAGCCTCGCACGGCTTCCGTATCTTTTCAATCTAGACCTGAGGTCACAGCTTTGTCCCTTTCCCTGCACTTTCCTCTCAGTCACCGTGCACCGTGCTGGAAACTGTGATGGAGATAACTCACAAACGCAGATCCACACCATGGAGGCCAAAATGAGAGGGCTCTGCGTCAGAGCTGAGGGAGCAGATCGGATCTCACATAAATCCAACGCCCTCTTCCGGCCTTCCCGAGCACTGAACAGACGTGGTGCACAACGCAATGCAGGCAAAACAGTCACACCCGTAAAAATAATCTTAAAGAATGCAAGTGTGGCTGGTTGTGGTGGCGCACACTGGTAGGATTTGCTGAAGGAGGCAGAGGCAGGAGGATTAAATTTTATTATTAAAAAGAAAGAATGCAAGTGTGTTAGAATATGCTGGAAATCTCAGAGGTGGGGAAGCAGAGAGAGGTGAGCAGCCAGACTAGCTTACTTGGTGAGAGGCACCCGAGGAACACTGCCCAACACTGTCCTCTGACCTCCATCAGCATCTGCACACATATGTATGTGTACCGGCACATACAAGTGTACGCCACATGCACACACAGTCATACAATGGGCTATCAATTGGCAATGAAGGCCACAGTACCAATGCACCAACAACATGGCTGAATCTTAAAACACCAAGAAAAAGGTGAAGAGTAAATACAGGCTGGAGGGGAGGCCTCGTGTTGGTTCCCAGCACCGAATGGAGAAAAGTATATGCTGTGTGGCTGCGTTTCTACAGTGCTCTGCATCAGGCATAACTAGTCTGCAGCGATAAAAATCAGAGTCCAGAGGCCTCACGTCAAAGGGCTCTCAGGGAACTTCCTGCAGTAGATTCTCTCTTCTCACTGGCTACTACAATGGCTACACAAGCACGACCAGGGCTACTGAATCAGCAGGATTTTCATTAAAGTAGGAGGACAGACATTGAAGACATTCGTGTTGTGTGCTTATGTGTGCGGGTATGAGTGCCAACGCATGCGAGTAAGGCCAGAGGAGGGCATGGGTGTCCTCTCTCACTATGCCATGTAATCCTTTGAGATCGAGTCTCTCTGCATCTAGAGCTAGACTGGCAGCCGACAGGCCTCAGGACTCGCACAGTACTGGAGTGTAGAGCACCCGTCCACGCGTGGCTTTATGTGGATGCTGCGGTGTGAACACAGGTCCTCACATTTATGCAACAAGGGTCTTACCACTCGGCCACCTCCCTAGCCCCACATTAAAGTTGTTTTTAATGAGATGTCTTCATTTTGTTGTATGTAAATTATACTTTATTAAGATTTGGTATTTTTTGTTTGTTTGTTTGGGTTTGGGGGTGGGGTTCTTAGCCATGGAGATGAAATCCAGAGCCTTGCATATGCCCGACACACACCATACAACTAGCTACACCCCAGCAATGTTATTTTAACAGGAAAGCAGTTCAGAGGTCAGTGAGATGGCTCAGGGAGTAAAGGACCTGAGTTCAATCAGCAGAACCCACATGGTAGAAGAAACTACCTCCTGCAACTGGCCATGTACACACTCATACACACACACACACACACACACACACACACAATCAACTGGTCAATATTTAAATGTCAAATTTGAAAGGGAAAAATTATATTTTATGGTATTTTTGTATTGTAATTTTTCTTTTTTAGATTTATTAAATATGTGAGTACTCTATCTGCATGTACACCTGTATGTCAGGAGAGAGTATCGGATCCCACTATAGATGGTTGTGAGCCACCATGTGATTGCTGGAAATTGAACTCAGGACCTCTGGAAGAGCCACTGAGCCATCTCTCCATCCCTGTACAGTATTCTTATAGACCTTTTTAAAAATTATTATTATTTGGGGTTTTGAACAGAGACACAAAAACAGCATAACTTAAACGGCTTTCAAATATTTTTAACTACAAAGACAGCATGTCCAAGGAATGCTCCCTGATCTGAAATGGGAAACGTAAGTTCCGAGTTCTTACTTCACAGTTAGGGGATAGACTTCAAGTCTATTGACCTGTACACTGTTTACATAGATGCCACAAAATCCACGAGGTGGCTTATACAACGGCTGAAGAAACCATGAAAAAATGATAGCTTCCAACTAGGGAGAAGCTCAGTAGCTGAGTCAAGTCAGTCCCCAGATCCAAACACCAGTTAAAGACCCTAAGGGAGAGGGGACCCCCCCCCCCAGTACAGCGAGGGAAGAGCTCTGAGACACAGTTCTAGCCCAGCCTCCAAACAAACCACAAACAAGACGACTGTAGTACCAGCACTGGGGAGGCACAGGCAGGGGGATCTGTGAGTTCAAAGCCAAGAGGAAAGGGGAGAAGGAGAGAAGAATCCATGAACTCTGATTAGAGGGACTTTAGGGGAGGAAATGCGAAGGACAGACCTTGGCTGGGTATTGACCTGAACAGAGAGAAAGCAGATGTGTCAAGTAAGCGGGAGAGAGCTAGTGCAGATGGTCAGTCATTAGAGGACACTGAGCGTGCTACTGTTATTACAGGTGTCTTTTTATACGTCCCCATCTGCTGGGTATGGTGCCACATGTACATAGCCTTTGTACTTTAGAAGGTGGAGGCAGGAAGATGGTGATTTCTAGACTAGTTGCATAGTAAGACCTGCCTCGTCCCTCCAAAGAAATTACACACCTGAAAGAGATGCATCTTGAAGTGTCTATAAGTGAAAGACTATGTCTTAAATTTGCTCTAAAATGCTTTTAGAAAGCATGAAAGCCACTGAGATGGCTCAGCAGGCAAAGGCACTTGCTGCTATGCCTGATGGCCTGAGTTTCATCCTCATAGCAATGGTGGAAGGAAGGAAATAACCCCCACAAGCTGTCCTGACTACCCCCACATATACCTAAGCACATTTTCTCTTTCTCTCACATGTGCTGTGTGCGTGCACACACACAGCGATATTTTTTTTTCTTTTTCGAGACAGGGTTTCTCTGTGGTTTTGGAGCCTGTCCTGGAACTAGCTCTTGTAGACCAGGCTGGTCTCAAACTCACAGAGATCCGCCTGCCTCTGCCTCCCAAGTGCTGGGATTAAAGGCGTGCGCCACCACCGCCTGGCAGAAAGTGTCAATCTTGATTCAATCAAAAGGGNAAACTCACAGAGATCCGCCTGCCTCTGCCTCCCAAGTGCTGGGATTAAAGGTGTGCGCCACCACCGCCCGGCTCACACAGTGATATTTTATTTATGTTTTACAAATAAAGCTTTCCTGAAACCAGAAGGTAAAACTAAGCTACTAGAGGCCAGGCAGTGGTGTTACACACCTTTAATTCCAGCACTAGAGAGGAATAATAGGCCGGATGAGACAGAAACTCACTCTCTTCCAGTCTGAGGATTTCTTAGAGGTAAGAGCACTCTAGTGGCCTGGCTGCTTTGCTTTTCTGATCTTCAGGTTAAATCCCAGTATCTGTATCTGGGTTTTATTATCCATGCCTTCCCCCACCCAGGAAAACACACAGAAATGCCAGACATTTGTTTAATCCCAGCCACTAAGGAAGCAGAGGCAGGCAGGTCTCCAGGAGTGAGGTGAGAGGCCAGCCTGATCTAACATTATTAATTCCAGGCTAGTGAGGGATAAGGATAAGACCCTAAAACACACAGACAAGAATAAACAAATGTGGTGACTGGAGAGATGGCTCAGGGGTTAAGAGCTCTAATTACTCTTCCAGAGGTCCTGAGTTCCCAACAACCACATGGTGGCTCACAACCATCTGTAATGATATCTGGTGCCCTCTTCTGGCATGAAGGCAGACATGCAAGCAGAATACTGTATATACAATAAATAAATAAACATTAAAAAATAAACAAAATTTAAAGTATACAGAGCGAGGAAGATAAAAATTTAAATGACAGATGTACAATTATATTATTTTTCTACTTTCAAAAAAAAAAAGATTTATTTATTTTTTTTATGTATGAGTACTCTATCTGCATCTGCACCTGCATGCCAGAAGAGGGCATTAGACTCAACTACAGATGACTGTGAGTCACCATGTGCTGCTCTTAACTGCTGAGCCATCTCTGCAGCCCTATTTTTTTCTACCTCTGTGTGTTCTTAAAATCCTGTGTACACTTTAAATTTGAAATTTTGGAGCCGAACATGGAAGCGTGCAGTTTTAATCCCAACACTCAGGAGGCAGAGGCAGAAAGAAATATCTTTGTGAATATGAGGCTAATCTGGTCTATGTAGTTCCAGGACAGTCAGTGCTACATAGGAAGACCCTGTCTTTAAAAAAATAAACAGGCTGGGTGGTGGTGGTGCACGCCTTTAAACCCAGCACTCAGGAGGCAAAGGCAAGTGGATCTTTGTGAGTTCGAGGCCAGCCTGGTCTACAAGAGCTAGTTCCAGGACAGGCTCCAAAGCTACAGAGAAACCCTGACTGGAAAAACCAAAAAACAAAACAAACAAACAAAAAAAAGAAAGAAAGAAAGAAATTTGAAACTTTGTGTATTGTAAAACATCTCAAAGAATCTAGGTGAAGGGTAAGGTACTTGCTACATAAGACCCTAGGCTCCGTCACAAAGCACAAAAATAACAAACACTAAATGCATACGTTCAGATGTCCCACAAATCAGAAAGAAACGGGGGCAGTTTTGACACTGACAGTTTTTGGTTCTGTCTTACCCTCTAGTTCCACAGTATGGCTTTTCCTCCTCAGCACGGTGCCCTTCTTCTCCAAACCTTCCTTCTATAGAATAGCCACCTCCCAGTATTCCCTGAGCCTCACCACTGAGCATATTGAGACCCTATCGATGTACATCTTAAGAGAATCTGGGCTGGGGACATAGAACAGTCAGTCAGTGTTAGCCATGCAAGCATGAGGATCTGAGTTTGATCCCCAACACCTGCATAAAAAGCCAGACGTGGTAATGCTCTTGTAACCCCAGTGCTGGTGGAGAAGGTGGATCCCTGGGACTTGCTGGCCAGCCAGGTCTAGCCTCATCAGTAAGCTCAAGGTCCTTGAGAGACCTTGTCTCAAACAACAAGGCAGACAGCTCCTGAGCAACATCACTGAGCGCTGAGGCTGTCTTCTGGCCTACATATGACACACACACGGGGGGGGGGGGGGGAAAAAGGGGGGGAGAGAGAGAGGGAGATGCACGCCCCTCCCTGCAATACACCTACACACTTTTTTTTTAAGACAAAGAAAGGGGAACGCACACTTCTGTTGAGATTCTCACAGCTGATGGGCAGCAGCGTGCTCAGCTCCAGATCCGTGACCATCTGCCGAGACTCGGCCAGCAAGCGCTGGAGCTTACTAGTAGGAGAGAAGTCATCCTGAAACAACACGCGGTTCAGCTCTGTGAGCGGAGGTGCATTTCTAAGTGTTTCTGCACAGTCACAGCTTATAGACACAAATGCTGTCAATGGGGAGGTATCAGTATTACAAAAATAACCAGTTCCTTTTATTTCTTATAACCTACTCAGTGAAATGAAGAAATACAAACAGAACCTACTACAGTTAATTATAAGAAAAGGTTCCTAAACATTTCTTAAATAAAAACTTCAGGCCAGGATGGATGTGGTGGTGCATAGAGGAGGCAGAGGCAAATGGATCTCTATGAGTTCAAGGCCAGACTTATCTACATAATGAGTTCCAGGCCAGCAAGGGCTACAGAGTGAGACCTTGTCTTTTAAAAAAAACAACAACAATAAAGAAAAAAAAAAAAAACGGGGAGGGCTGGAGAGATGGCTCAGTGATTAAAAGCACTGGCTGTTCTTCAGAGGTCCTGAGTTCAATTCCCAGCACCCACATGGTGGCTCACAACCATCTAGAGTGGGATCTGATGCCCTCTTCTGACACAAAGGTATACATGCGGATAGAGTACTCATATACATAAAATAAATAAATCTTTAAAAAACCCAAGTCATAATTAGCATGTCAAAGCAACTGCAAAATAGAACCTTAGACTAAAGATATGTGGAGATGTGCTTTAGTTTAATCTTGCTATTTTACTTTATTTTATTTTTTTTTAGGGTGAAAATCAGAGGACAAGTCAAAAAAAAAAAAATCAGTTCTCTTTTCAACATGTAAGTTCTAGGAACCAAACTCAGGTTGTCAGGCTTGATGGCGAGCACCTTTACCCTCTCTCTGAGTCATCTAGTTAATTTAAAAACAAAACATGTATTTATTTTGTGTGTAGATGATAAGTTCCATGACATGAAGTTGGAGGAAAACTTTGCAAAGTCAGTTTTCTACTTCTGCCAGTGGATTCAGGTGTTTGATTCAACTCATCAGGCCTGGCTGTGGTTGTCTTTATCCCAAACCAAAGCCACCCTGCAATCTAATACATAAATGTAAAGGGGGGGGGGTGTGGCCATCTCAGCAGTTCTTTTTTGGTTTCTGGAGACTATTTAGATGCATTTTATTTTGTGCGTATGAGTTTTTTTTTTTTTTTTTGCCTGTATGTATGTGCACATGTGTGTCTCATATTCATGAAGTTCAGAAGAGGATTCCTGAAAATGGATTTATAGATGGTTGTGAGCCATCAAACCTGGGTCTTAGCCAACAGCAGCAAGCACTACTAACTGCTGAACCATCTGTCCAGTGTGTGAGATGGTTCAATCACACAGACCTGTGATTGTAAAACCTAAAAATGCCTAAAATTAAGCAATAAGAGGAATAAAAGCATGCTGAGGAGAAACTCTGCTTGACTGCATTGGGAGCTCTCATGTAAAACAGAAACCTTTTCATGGGGCGATGCTGCATCTTTGCTGATGAACACACTCTTGGATGAGGTTCTTTTGTCTGGAGGGGGCTCTGGCTCATCTTCTCTCTCTGCAGACTTTGAGGAACCCAAACACTGTGGAGGCTGGATGGCACTGGGCTCACTGCAAGCAATAAGACCAAAGAGAAATAGTATCACACGCATGTCACTCATACATTTAAAAGTATGCTAAGAGGACAAAAAGTGCCAGGCATGTTGCCCATATTTATAATCTCAGCGCTCGGTAAGGAAGCTAAAGCAGGAAGATGGACCACAGTTTAGGCCAGTCTGAGCTACACAATAAGTTCCATGCTAGGCTAGGGGACACAGTGACATGCTGTCTGAAGAAAAAGTAAAGAGGGAGGTGGGGTAAAAAAGAAGAATGTGACAGGGCCTTGCTATGCAACCCAGGATGGCCTCAAACAAAGAAGCCCATGCTGGCCTGGAGCTCACACTCCTCCACCACAGCCTCTTGAGTGCTGGGCTAACGAGCATACATAGCACCTCTAGCTTAAACATGTTGTCTGAAAAGAGGTCAAGGTGATCTGACCAGAGTATTATACATTAATGCATGCTTTTGCAAGTGAAAATTAAAATCTGTAGTTCAGGGTAACTACAAGAACAAGGAATTTCCCTCCTTCAAAAAGTATAGAAGTAGGGCTAGAGAAATGGCTCACTTATTAAGAGCATCTGCTTTTTTTTTTTTTAATTTTTTTTGTTTGTTTTCCAAGACAGGGTTTCTCTGTGGTTTTGGAGCCTGTCCTAGAACTGGATCTTGTAGACCAGGATGGCCTCGAACTCACAGAGATCCGCCTGCCTCTGCTTCCCGAGTGCTGGGATTAAAGGCGTGCACCACCACTGCATGGTGCATGTGCTCTTCTTACAGAGGATCCAGGTTCATTTCTAGCACCCACATGGTTGCTTACAACCGCCTGCAAATCCAGTTCCCAGAGATCTGACACCTTCTTCTCACCTCTGCATACAACTGCATGCACGTGCATGTATGTATGTGCATGCGTGCGCACACACAGACACACAACTGTCCACTGCTTCTGAAGAGTACCTGGGTTCAGTTCCAGCACCTACATAGAAGTTCACATTAGCTGTGATTCTGTTATCAAGGATCCAATGTGCTCTTCTGGACAACACCCATATACATAAATTAAAATTATTAAAAATAGATTTTTAAACTTCTAGCCTGGTGGTGATGGTACACACCTTCCATCCAGCACTCGGGAGGCAGGGGCAGATAGATCTCTAGGTTCGAGGCCAGCCTGGTCTACAGAGTGAGTTCCAGGACAGCTAGAGGTACACAGAGAAACCCTGTCTCAAAAAGTCTTTTAAAAAAAAAAAAAAACCTAAAGGTTCAGCTTGGTAGAGCATACCATTGATCCTAGAACTCAGGAGGCAGAGACAAATGGATCTCTGTGAGTTCAAGGCCAACCAGATCAATTCAGTGAAACCCTGTTTCAAAAAAACCTGTTTCAATAAATGACATTTTAAAAGTACAGAAGGGCCACTAAGATTGCTTAGTGGGTGAAGCTGCTTGCCACCAGGTATGGGGACCTGGATTTGATCTCTAGAACCCATATTGTAGAAGAGAACCAATTCCCACACGTCGTCTTCTCAACTCCACACCAGTGTTGTAGCACACACACTAATAAATAGATGTAGTTAACTTTTTTTAAGTAGGGAGGCTGGGGTACAAGCTCACTAGCTTATTATTCTCAGCCCTGGATTCAAACCCTGAAACAACAGAAACACAGTTTTAGTAAAAAAAATAAATAAATAAATAAAAAATAAAGAAGGTGCTATGGACAAGATCCTACAGAAGGCAGGGGTAAGCATTACTAACAGTGTAAGGTTAAAGCGTAAACAGGTAGGCTTTTGGCTTGTGAAACCGACATGGGCCCATGACTTGGTGAAAGTGGAGAGGCACTGGGCAGGTGAGCACTGCCTGCAGGTACTAGAGCCCAGGAAGCACACAGAAGAGCAGGTGCCTGTGGTTCCCCTCACAAAGAGACCTTACTTGTTAAGTGGAAAGAGGCCCAAATGTGAACATTTACCTAGATAATAAAGTGGATACACAGGTTCTTGTAACCTGAGGAAACAGGAAAAACACCACTATCTTTTCTACCTAATCACATACTTGTCCCGTGTCTGTGGCTCGGCTGGCAGAACAAGTAGGCATTTAAATTACTGAAGTTAGCGAGGTCAAAGGGGCATTGAAGGGAAACCCTGAATGTAAATTTGAATTTATTCATACATTAAATTTAATTTAATACACACACACAGTGCTCTCAAAACTACCCAATGCAGCTTCACTCTTATAAATAAAGAATGTTAGCCAGACAGTAGTGAGGCAGAGACAGGTGGATCTCTGTGAGTTTGAGGGCAGCCTGGTTAATAAGAGCTAGTTCCAGGACAGCTGGGGCTGTTACACAGAGAAACCCTGTCTCGAAAAACCAAGAAAAGGTTTTTAGGGGGTGGTGCTCAAGGCTGTAGCTTAGTGGTAGAACAACTTCCCAGCATAATCAAAGCCCCCATTTGAATTGCTAGTACCACACCACACACAAGGTCTTGCTTAGGAAGGAGAAACAGACACCAATGCCTTCCTGATACTTTCAGTTTTCCAAAGATCTTTAAAACCAAATGACTTAATGACATTTAGTATAGCAAGTGATTTTTAATTTTGTACTTGGCAGGATATCTGTATGTTTTTTAATGACTCAAGCTTCTTTAAAAGGCCCAAAGAATGCTCTTCATAATGTAAGTACTAGGAATTTTAATCATAAAGTCCTGTGAAAGTCAATGCAAAGACTAAAATAAGGCTCTCAAGATAGAAACTTCATCCTTTCTGTGCTCTGAAGAGCTATGCTTTACTTAAAAATAGCAGGCTTTATTACAGTGCCACTCAGCCACAAGATTCAGCAACTCTAACAATAAGACAAGCTTGAATAATTTAGCATATACTAATTATCTTATGCAAAAGAAAGGCAGTCACTTTTATCAGCTTGTTAAACACCAATGTTCTGTCTTTCACTTATTTAGAAAATAGGAAAGCTGGGAAATGGGAAGTTGAAAACAGGTATGAGCTGGACACAGAAGTGAGGCGTAGTGGGTATGTAACATGTGGCGAGACCCTAGCTAAGGACAGACACTGTGATGCAGGGTCTGTCCTGCAGTCTGGGCCTCAAAGGGTCAGCATTGTCAACTGGAAAGGACCCTGGGGTGAGGAATGCTCCAGGACAGCATTCCACCCTGCACAGTGACCTACTTGTTTGTTTTCTAATAAAACATCTTTGTCCAGCTCATAATTGGTTTTATTTTTAAGTAAAACCTCTGCCTCAGAAGTAGCCTTCAGTGCAGAGTCTCCATTGGAGTCCCCTTGCACAAAGACTCCAGTGTCTATGCCATGAGGAAAAGAGCCAAATTTTGTTTTAAGTTTGTCTTAGATACATACGACCACAGTTTGCAAACAGTGCTTTCTCACTAGCCATAGGCATAAGCATCTCCTGCAGCCCTTTCTGTGCCTGCTGTCACCTACATCCCGTATTTACAGATATGAACATCACCAACCTTGCTGAAGACTTCATGCCGCTGACACCTCCTGAACAAGTGCACACAGTTTTGTGGCGAACAATTCTTTGCACTTTGGAAGGCTTGAAAATGCTCATCCACTCCACGTCAGTCATGTGTCCCGGGGCTTCGACAACGATGTTACTCGGGTGGCAGCACTTGGATTCACCCAGGTCCTTGTCACCCACACAGACTTCATTTTGGACACAGCATGAGATTTCGGCTGTATCTGCGAGGTTATGGCAGTTCCCATCAGGCTTTTCCAGGTGCTTTGAGGCCGAGCAGTTAGAAAGGCCCAGGTAAACATTGATGTCATGCCACTGCTTCTCATCAGGCAGCGAGACGGACGTTTCCGAGAGCTGCTTCTCTTCGACCTGAAGCTCCATCCCATTGCTTCTTGGTGAGTTCGCATGAATCTTGCATAGTGTAACTTTGTTTTCGGGTTCAGTCTGGATTTTTCCACCCAGAGACCAAGATTTTTGTTTCTCCAGTAAGTCTTTGGTAAATAGAGACGAGAGAGCAATTACACCTTTTTCCCCAAACGCAGTGTTAACCTGTAGCTTCTTCTCTCTGCATGCATCACAAGAGCTCTTGTCTGACCTATTGTGCTGAGCCAACGCGACCTCAAACTTTTGATCCTTAACCAATGACTTCTGATTTCTCTCTCTCTTAATATCGATTTTTGGGTAGTTATTGTCAAGGTCTGATAAACACATGTCTCTGCTACAGTGGCATTACAAAAAAAAGGAGTTATAAGATTGACTTGATACTATCATATGCTAGTATCACCTCCCTCAAGCCCCATTAGTAGACCTAGATCCCCATAAACCCCTTAGTCTGACTTTCAGAGCCCACCTCCTACAGGAAGCCTTTCTGACCGCCACGCCTACATTCCCTCCCCTTTCTAGCCCTCACTCATTGTGTTTACCATCAAAACAACAGCAACAAAATCAAGACTACTACAGAAATGCAACAGGACCTTTACCAGCCTCCTCTAAGGCTTTTTCCTATCAGGGATTCCATCTGTTTATTTAAGACAGGTTCTCACACTGGCCTAGGAATTGTAATCTTCCTGAGTACTAGGAATACAGGTGTGCACACCATGCCGGGTTTGTGTTCTTTCTTTCCATGATGGTATGAACCACTTCCTTTGATTGTGTGTGTGTGTGTGTGTGTGTGTGTGTGAGAGAGAGAGAGAGAGAGAGAGAGAGAGAGAGAGAGAGAGAGAGAGAGAATATGGAGGTCAGAGGACAATGGCTGTTGCTTCTCTCCTTATATGGGGGCTGGGATTGAGCTCAGGCCTTCAGGCTTGGTGGTAAGTGCTATTACCAGCCACGGCATGAACCACTTCTTTTTTTTTTCAATAATTTATTTATTTTTTACTTTATGTTTTGCCTGAGTGTATGTCTGGGTGAGGGTGTTAGGGCCCTTGGAACTGGAGTCACAGACAGCTGTGAGCTGCCATGTGGGTACCAGGAAATGATCCTGGATCCTCCAGAAGAGTAGTCAGTGCTCTTAACTGCTGAGCCATCTCTCCAGCCCCCATGAACCACTTCTAAGAAGCAACCTCAACTTATCCAGTGCCTCACAGTGGCAATGAATTTCAAAGAGGGAAAAGACATGTTAAAGGCTTCTGCTTGAAAGAGAACACTGCGTGGTCCTGGGGTCTGCTGGTGGCAGCAATAGATGGGACGTAGGGCAACAGAGTAGCAACCCTGACGAAGGTATGAGGACAGAAATGCAGCCCAGCACAGTGCATCCTGCTGCTAGCTGCACTTCTCCCAGGGAGAAGAGCTGGAGCCACCAATCACTGACAATCTAGTCCAGTCTTTGTAGTCCCCTGCAGGCTGGGATGCCCCAATTCCTCTTCTTGACAAGCACAATGGCTTTAGTTGGGCACGCCAGCACAGGTCTGTAGTCCCAGTAAAGAGGAAGGCTGCCATCGGTTTAAGACCAAGCAGGACGACTCAGTGAGAATGTATCTCAAAAACATAAAAAAAGAAAAAGAAAATGGACTCCACTGTGGTAGTTTATCTGCATTATCTAGCCATTATTCAACTGTTTCAGATTTACAATCATCCCCACAATTCTTGTCACAATCGAGGGAAGGATGCCACATACCAACTGGCAACAGACAGGAAGATCTGAGCTCCTGTTGCAGCTAATGCTGTTATTCTTCGCATTATTCTCTGGGGCTGGTACCAAGTCCCACGGATCTTACTCCCGATAGTAAGCCCACTGCCTATACAGTGGAAGTGCTGCATTAATGAAGGCCTGGCTAGCTCTGCAGTGTCTACTCCAGCTCAGAGCCTTTTACGCACAGACACACAAACCTAGTCTATGATTTATTGTTGTTAGATGACTAGTTGACAACTACAGATTACATCTAAAATTCTTTTTTTTTGTATGCTGTATTATTGTATGCTACAGCCAGTGTATATAAAATAGTTAAACCTTGTGAAACAGAAATCCATGAAGATTCAGAGAGGTAGATATTTAGGATTGACAAGTAAAGACTGTGTATTATGGCACGTGTTAGAGAAGCTTCTGTACAGACTTCAGAATATCCACTAGTTCATGAAAAGTGGTTTAAGAAACCTCAAGATTGCTGACTACAAAAAGGAGCAGACTTTCTGGGGTCTGAAGGGATTTGTACTGGAAGACACCCCGGTCAGCAGAGGGTCATGTTGAGCATTCTGCAGACAGAACTGTTTCAAGTCTGCAGCTGCCTGGGAAACCTTCACGCGGTTGAGCCCGGCTTCCAGCCGGAACTGCTGAACCACCTTCTTCATGGCGGCGAAGCTAGAGGAACCTGACGTGGCGCTCGGGACAGCCGTGCCGACTCGTAGGTCCGGGTGAGGGGCGGCAGGTCGCGGGCTACATCTAAAATTCTTACACTAGGATTATTGTAATTATTAGTGTACACAGATTTATTTCCTACCATACCAGAAACAGCAGCAAGTACTGGCTCACAGCAAGCCAGAGTAAAACTGACCTAATGAGGAAGTAAAAATCAACATCAATACCATCGGCTAAGGTTACCTGCATTCCAGGGCCTTTGATTCCTCCATCTTTGAGTCATATATCTGTATTAATTCATGAGAATTTTCTACATTGAAATTAAGAAACTGCAGGTCACTCTGTTGTTTTACGTAAATCTGCCAGAGATGTCAACAAATCAATACAATAAAAACAAATCCAAACTGAATCAACAGCTTGGCACTTTGAAATCCTAAACAGACCAGATGTTTGCAACAAGATATTTCCATACATCTCATCTCCTAACCTCTAAGCCCCACAGCCAAGACTGCTATGCTAAAGACGATGTAAGTCTGATGTAGTGAAGATCCAGGAGGCACCATTAACAAAATCAGCAGGTTCTGGGTGGTGGCGGTACACGCCTTTAATCCTAGCATTCAGGAGGCAGAGACAGGTGAATCTCTGAGTTTAAGGCCAGCCTGATCTACACAACAAGTTCCAGGATGGCCCTGTGTCAAAAAGAAAAAGCCCCCAAACAAACAAAACACACCACACACACACACACAGAGAAAGAGAGAGAAAGAAAGAGAGAGGAAGAGAGAGAAACTCCCCCAACAAAAATCAACAGGCAGACAGATTCCTAACTCCCCAACATTTCTTACCTATGGTCATAGAAGACAGCCAGGACATACCTGTCTCAGGTTGTGCAGCTCTGAATTTGTGCGATCTTGCTTTGACTTTGCAATATCAAGTAACTCATCTTTCCTCTTTTCTCTCTCGACTGTATAAGGACAAAAATAATTGGATATTTTTCATCAGCAATATCAATACACATCACTCAGGTTCTAAAGATTTAACAACTAACACTTCTGTTGTGGTTCTCAAACTTAAAAGCTGCAGAATGGCTGACTGAGAAGAGCTTCCATGTGTGATTCTGACTGAGTCCACCATGAAATAGGAAAGTGCACAACATAATTAATGTTAAGTCAAAAAAATGGTTTAAAGTATATGCAACAATAAAGGGAAATATGGGGAGAAAAAGCCTGAAAGTAAGCGAGGCCCAGGAGTACACACCTGTAATTCTATCACTTGGGAATTGGAGGTGAGAAACTCAGGAATTCAAGGCTAGCCTGGGTTATGTGAGACCCTGACTCAAAAAAAAAAAAAAAAAAAAAACAAATAATGAACACCAAAGATTGAAAGCAGATATTGAGAAGTGGTTGCTGTCTTTATTCACTGAGACAGGATCCCTCTATGAATCCAGGCTGAACTTAAATTTGAGCTCCTCTTGGAGCTTCTACACTCCAAGGGATTAGGGTATCCTATCACCTCCGGCTAAGAACTTATTTTTATTTTTAAAAATTTAACTTTTTTTAATTGTATGTATGTACACCACATGCATGCCTTCAGAGCAGAAGAGGGCACCAAATCCCTTGGAATCACAGCTACAGAAAATTGTGAGCTGTTAGCTGCCATGCAAGTGCTGGTAATTCAATCTGAGTCCTCTGGAAGAGCAATCATTTCTTGTAACTGCTGAACCATCTCTCCAGTCCTAGGAATTTATTTTTAACAAGTAGGGCTTGGTGATGTGCACCTGTGTTCCCAGATACTCCACATTCGACACATGAAAATCACTTGAGGCCAAAAGTTAGAGAACAGTCTTGGCAACATAGAAACAAAAACATATGAAGAAGTTATTTTTAGGAATTGGGGATATGGCTTAGAGGTAGAGTGCTTATTTAGGTTTGATTCCTCCCACCAGCATTACAAAAAAGAGTATATATACAAAGAAGGTACTATAAAGGTATAGAAACCAGGTACTATCCCCAAACATACATTAACAGTGTACATAAGAACGATTTGAGAGGAAATAGACTCATCAGTTAAAGAAAACATTTTTTAAATCTAACAAAAGCTTAACCCAAAATATCCATGAAATATGGGACACCATAAAAGACCAAATCTTAGAATAATAGGTATAGAAGAAGGAGAAGTTCAACTCAAAGGCATAGAAAATCTATTTAACAAAATCATAGAAGAAAACTTTCCCTAACAAAAGAAAGATATACCTATGAAGATACAAGAAGCTTACAGAACACCAAATAGACTGGATCCAAAAAAATGTCCTCTTGCCACATAATAATCAAAACACTAAACATACAGAGTAAAGAAAGAATATTAAGAGCTGCAAAAGAGAAAGGCCAAGTAACATGTAAAGGTAGACCTGTCACAATTACATCTGACTTCCCAGTGGAGACGATGAAAGCCAGAAGGTCATGGTCAAGTGTTATACAGGCATTAGGAGACCATGAATGCCAGCCCAGACTGCTATACCCAGCAAAACTGTCGATCACCATAGAAGGACAAAACAAGATATTCCATGACAAATATAAACTTAACCAATACCTAGCCACAAACCCAGCCCTACACAAAATACTAGAAGGAAAACTCCAACCCAAGGAAGATGGCTACACCAACAAAAACACAGACAATTGATGATCTCATTACAGCAAATCCCGAAGAAGAAAAAAAAAGCACAAATTAACATCACCAACGATGAAAACTAAATTAACAGGAGATAGCAACCACTGGTCATTAATATCCCTTAATGTAAATGGACTCAACTCACCTATTAAAAAAGGCACAGGTTAACAGATTGGATACGAAAACAGAATCTATCTATCCTTCTTCTGCATACAAAAAATGCATCTCAACCTCAAAGACAGACATCGCCTCAGAGTAAAGGGTTGGGAAAAAAAATACCAATCAAATGGACCTAAGAAACAAGCAAGCCAGGTGGTGGTGGCGCACGCCTTTAATCCCAGCACTCGGGAGGCAGAGGCAGGCGGATCTCTGTGAGTTCGAGGCCAGCCTGGTCTAGAAGAGCTAGTTCCAGGACAGGAACCAAAAGCTACAGAGAAACCCTGTCTTGGAAATCCAAAAAGAAAAAAGAAAAGAAAGAAACAAGCAGATGTAGCTATCCTAATATCTAACAAAATAGACTTCAAGCTAAAATCAGTCAAAAGAGACAAAGAAGGTCATTTCATATTAGTCACAGGAAAAATCCATCAAGAGGAAATTTCATTACTGAACATCTATGCCCCAAATACAAGGGCACCCTCATACGTGAAAGAAACATGTCTAAAGCTTAAATCATACATTAAACCCCACACACTAATATGGGAGACTTCAACACTCCCCTCTCACCACTGGACAGGTCAATCAGACAAAAATGAACAGAGAAATAAGAGAACTAACAGATGTTATGACTCAAATGGACTTAACAGACATCTATAGAATAGTCCATCCAAACAGAAAAGAATATATACCTTCTTCTCAGCACCTCATGGAACCTTCTCAAAAACTGACCACATACTCGGTAACAAAACAAACCTCAACAAATACAAAAAAAAATGGAATAACCTTATCAGATCACCATGGTTTAAAACTAGAAGTCAACAGCAATACTAATTCCAGAAAACCCAAAAACACATGGAAATTAAACAATGCTCATCTGGATCATCAATGGGTCAAGGAAGAAACAAAGGGAGAAATTAAAGACTTCCTAAAATTCAATGAAAATGACCACACAACATACCCAAATTTATGAGACACAATGAAAGCAGTGTTAAGAGGAAAGTTCATAGCACTAAATGCCTACATAAAGAAGCTGGGAAAATCCCACACTAGCGAATTAACAGAACATTTGAAAACTTTAGAACAAAAAGAAGCAAACTCACCTAAGAGAACTAGATGGGAGGAAATTAAGTGAAAGCTGAAATCAATAAAATAGGAACAAAGAAAACAATACAGAAGAATCAATGAGACAAAGAGTTGGTTCTTCGATAAAATCAACAAAATAGACAAATCTTTATCCAAACTAACCAAAAGGCAGAGAGAGAATATCCAAATTAACAAAATCAGAAATGAAAAGGGGGACATAACAACAGACATGGAGGAAATACAGAGGATCATGAGGTCATATTTTGAAAACCTGTACTCCACAAAATTGCAAAATTTAAAGGAAATGGACAACTTTCTGGATAAATATCACTTACCAAAACTAAATCAAGACCAGATAAGCAAATTAAACAGACCTATAACTGCTGAAGAAATAGAAACAGTCATCAAAACTCTCCCAACCAAAAAAGCCCAGGACCAAGTGGTTTCAGCTCAGAATTCTACAAGACTTTCAAAGAAGAACTAGTACCAATACTCCTCAAATTATTCCACACAATAGAAACAGAAGGAACATTTCAAAACTCTTTATACCAGGCTACAATTGCTTTGATACCCAAACCACAGAAAGACATTACTAAGAAAGAAAATTACAGATCAATGTCACTTATGAACATTGATGCAAAAATACTAGCAATTCTAATCCAAGAACACATCAGAACCATCATCCACCATGACCAAGTTGGCTTCATCCCAGAGATGCAGGGATGGTTCAACATATGAAAATCTGTCAACGTGATCCACCATGTAAACAAGCTGAAAAATAAAAACCACATGATCATCTCATTACATGCAGAGAAAGCTTTTGACAAAATACAACATCCCTTCATGATAAAGGTTTTGAAGAGAGCAGGGATACAAGGAATATACCTAAGCATAATTAAGGCAATACACAGCAAGCCAACAACCAACATCAAACTAAATGGAGAGAAACTCCCAACAATCCCACTGAAATCAGGAACAAGACAAGGTTGTCCATTCTCTCCATATCTATTCAATATAATTCTTGAGGTCCTAGCTAGAGCAATAAGATACCAAAGGGAGATCAAGGGGATATAAATTGGAAAAGAAGTCAAACTCTCACTGTTTGCTGATGATATGATAGCTTACATAAGTGATCCCAAAAATTCTACCTAGGAACTTCTACAACACATAAACACTTTCAGCAATGTAGCAGGATACAAGATTAACTCAAAAAAAAATCAGTAACCCTCTTGTACACAGATGATAAAAGGGCTGGGGAAGAAATCAGAGAATCAACACCCTTCACAATAGCCACAAATAGCATAAAATATCTCGGAGTAACTCTAACCAAATAAGTGGAAGACTTGTATGACAAGAACTTTAAATCTTTGAAGAAAGAAATTGAAGAAGACACCAGAAAGTGGAAAGATCTCCCATGCCCTTGGGTAGGCAGAATTAACATAGGAAAAATAGCAACCTTACCAAAAGCAATCTACAGATTCAATGCAATGCCCAGCAAAATTCTTCAAAGACCTTGAAAGAACAGTATTCAACTTCATATGGAAAAGCAAAAAACCCAGGATAGCCAAAATAATCCTGTGCAATAAAAGAACTTCTGGAGGCATCACAATCCCTGACTTCAAACTCAGCTCCAGAGCCTCAGTACTGAAAACAGCCTGGTATTAGCATAAGAACAGACAGGAGGACCAAAGGAACCAAATAGAAGACCCAGATAACAAACCACACATCGAACACCTGATCTTTGATAAGAAACAAGCAAGCCAGGCGGTGGTGGCGCACGCCTTTAATCCCAGCACTCGGGAGGCAGAGGCAGGCGGATCTCTGTGAGTTTGAGGCCAGCCTGGTCTAGAAGAGCTAGTTCCAGGACAGGAACCAAAAGCTACAGAGAAACCCTGTCTTGAAAATCCAAAAAGAAAAAAGAAAAAAAAAATATCAAATGGAAAAAAAGAAAGCATATTTAACAACTGGTGCTGGTATAACTGGATATCAACATGTAGAAAAATGAAAATAAACCCATATCTATCACCATGCACAAAACTCAAGACCAAATGGATTAAAGACTTCAACATAAAGCCAGCCACATTGAACCTTATAGAAGAGAAAGTGGAAAGTACACTTGAATGCACTGGCACAGAGAACCACTTCCTAAATAGAACCCCAGCAGAACAGACACTGAGAGAAACAATTAATAAATGGGACCTCCTGAAACTGAGAAGCTTCTCTAAAGCAAAGGACACAGTCAACAAGACAAAACGACAGCCTACAGAATGGGAAAAGATCTTCACTAGCCCCACATCAGACAGAGGTCTGATGTCCAAAATATACAAAGAGGGGCTGGAGAGATGGCGCAGAAGTTAAGAGCACTGACTGCTCTTCCAAAGGTCCTGAGTTCAATTCCCAGCAACCACATGGTGGCTCACAACTAATCTGTAATGAGATTTGGTGCCCTCTTCTGGCCTGCAGGGATACATGTAGGCAGAACACTGTATACATAATAAATAAATTTAAAAAAATATACAAAGAGCTCAAGAAATTGGACACCAAAAGATCACATAATCCAATAAAAAATGGAGTACAGACCCAAACAGAGAACTCTCAACAGAGAAATCTAAAATGGCTGAAAGACACTTAAGGAAATACTCAACATCCTTAGTCATCAGAGAAATGCAAATCAAAACAACTCTGAGATTTCATCTTACACCTGTAAGAATGGCCAAGATCAAAAACACTGATGACAACCTATGCTGGAGAGGTTGTGGGGGGAAAAGAAACACTTCTGCATTGCTGGTGAGAATGCAAGCTGGTACAACCCCTTTGGATGTCAGTGTGGTGATTTCTCAGAAAATTAGGAAATAACCTTCCTCAAGACCCAGCAATACCACTTTTGGGTATATATCCAAAGGATGCTCAATCATGCCACAAGGACATGTGCTCAAGTATGTTCATAGCAGCTTTGTTTGTCATAGCCAGAACCTGGAAACAACCTAAATCAAAGGTCAAACCTTCGATCAAAGAGTGGACAAGGAAAATGTGGTACATTTACACAATGGAGTACTACACAGCAGAAAAAATTAACATCTTGAAATTTGCAGGCAAATGGATGGAGCTAGAAAATATATTGAGTGAGGTAACCCAGACACAGAAAGACAAATATCACATGTACTCACTCATAGGTGGCTTTTAAACATAAAGCAAAGAAAGCCAGCCTACAAACCACAATCCCAGAGAACTTAGACAACCAATGCGGACACTAAGAGAGACTTACATAGATCAAATCTACATGGTAAGTAGAAAGTAGAAAAAGACAAGATCTCCTGAGTAAATTGGGAGCATGGGTCCTTTGGGGGAGGACTGAAATAGGGAGGGGAGAGGCAGGGAGGGTAGCAGAACAAAATGTAGAGCTCAATAAATATCAATTAAAAAAAGGAAAAAAAAGGAAGCCAAAGAAGGCCCAGAATGAGCCAACAACAACAATAGAATTGATTTGAGCCAAGTGGAGTAGTGCATGCCTTTAATCCCAGCACTCGGGAGACAGGGCAGGTGGATCTCTATGAGTTCAGGACCATCCTGGTCTACAGAGTAAGTTCCAGGATAGTCAGAGCTATACAGAGAATCCCTGTCTCATGGGAATTGATTTGATTCACAGTCACATCAGCAATAAATGCTTCACATAAAAAAATCCAAGAGATAGAAATTAAATTATCATATTTGGTATTTGTCTTAGTTACTTTATTTTATACTTAGTACTTTAATTAGTTAGTTACTTTCTATTGCTGTGAAGAGACACCATGACCAAAACAACTTATAGAAGAATTTATTGGGGGCTTACAATTCCAGGGTTAGAATCCATGACTATCATTTCAGGGAGCATAGCAACAGCTGAGAACTTACATCTCTATCCACAAATCAGAGGTAGAGAAATTGCTGGAGAGATGATTCAGTGGTTAAGGTTGCTTACTGCTTTTCCAGAGAACCAGAGTTCAGTCCCCAGCATCCATCTCAGGCAGCTCACACCTGCCTGTAACACCAACCCCGGGGATGCCCTCTTCTGGTCTCCAGAGCACTGCAATCAGATGTGCACACACACACATACACACACATACACCCCACAATTTAAAATAAAAATAAAGTCTTTAAAAAAATAAGAGGCAGAGAGAGCTTTTGAAACATCAAAGCCCATCCCCAAGGGCACAGAGATCCACTTGCCTTTGTCTACTGGGAATAAAGGCATGCGCCACTACACCCTGCTATACTTTGTTTTTATATCACTGGGGAATAAACTCCCAAAGTATAACACGCAAGCACTCTACCAAGTGAACTACATCCCTAGCTCCGTCAACTTACTTTTACAATTAAAGCATACAAAAACTGTTTTTGAAACAATGATGTATAACTGTCTTCTGTAGAAAGGCAATTAGTTGAAGAAATGTTTTTTTTTTTATTCTTGTGATTTTATTGAATCTACACATCAGTTTGAGGACAAATGGCACTTTAGAAATTGGAGTCTCCCGAAGTAATGTTTTTTAAAAGTTATTTCCCAAAATGTATTATAGTTGTATTTAACAAGTCTCATACATTTTATAAATCAAGAAGACTTTTATATTTATGAATCAGGGGTGGGCTGGGTGGGATGGCACACATTTAAAAGTCTCAGTTCAATTCAATTCCAGGACAGGCTCCAAAGCTACAGAGAAACCCTGTCTCGAAAAACCAAAAAAAAAAAAAAAAAAAAAGTCTCAGTTCAAGACCAAATTGGGGGCTGGTGGTGCAAAATGGACTGCAATCTAGACTTCATCTTCAGACCTTCTCAGGCAGTGTCGTGTGTACATCTACGTGTGTATCTTAACACAACTGAAGACTTGTATGACACTTGCCTTTGGCAACGCACCTCAGCGTGCACGAGAGGAAGTCAAGCAGTGTCTCCGCAGCATCTGCTTAGTTCTAATTCCCTGTGGCCTGTTAGTGTCTTGGCTTTAGTGGAATCACATACAGGCTGACTCCGACTGTCTGATTTCAACCATGGGGTGTATCTTTAGTTACATACAAGGCATAACTAAGACAGAAATCCTAGAAATAATCAACACAGTGACCTCTAGTGGTGAAACTGGCACTGCCTTACTCTAATCCTTAGGAGGATTAAAATGAATGAAGGATTCATTGTACTTGAAAATTCTAAAGGTGTTTCTCTTTAAACTGTAAGAATTTTCTCCTCTTAAAAGGAAGGAGATTGAGAAAAAGAATGGCTAGACCAAAATGTTCATCTAGTTTTCTCTTTAAAATTTTCCTTCCAAAACTATGATTTTCTTAATACTCCTGCAAAATGAGAGCCTAGGGAAACGTTGGTGGCAGGGGTATCAATAAGCTCAATGTCCACAGTGAGGAGAGAGAGGACTTCAGCAGTGGATATTTCAGAGAGGATGGGCAGGGGCCATGCTGGGGAAGGTGGTGTGCGGTGGGAAGGCCTGGGATGATTACACATGACACCAACTAATGAAGATTTGAGTTGCACAATGCAACAACACACATGAGCTTTCCCCCAACATACTAACTGAAGGTAATTAATTTGCAAAACTCAATGCTGAGCCAGGCAATGGTGGCACACACCTTTAATCCTAGCACTTGGGAGGCAGAGGGAGGCAGATATCAGTGAGTTCAAGGCTAGCCTGGTCTATTAGAGTTAGTTCCAGGACAGATCCCAAAGCTACAGAGAAACCCTGTCTCAAAAAACCAGGGGGGAAAAAAACCCAAAACAAAAAAACTCAATGCTGAATTCCTAAAGAGTTTTATAGTGCTGGAGGCCAAGTCTAGTGGTAGGTTACACACCAGCCCTTTGGACTCCTGATAGTTTACTTAGCATTTGTGAAATTATACAAACCCTCCCTTCAACAACCCATATGATTCTTTTTAGATAATGTTACTTCTGATCCTTCTGCCTCCACCTTCCAAGTTCTGTGATTACAAATTATATGCCATCAGACCCAGCTACTGCATGCTGGGTGGACACTCCGCCAACTGAGCTACACTCCTACCCTAAAACGAACTTTCCAGCAGGAGTGTTTTCTTTTTCTTGAGGAGCATAAAGACCCATTCAAGTTGGACAAGCCGTAGCTCCACTTTATGGGGAGAAAAACAACTACCTGGAGGAGAATAAAAATGTTGAAACTTAGCCCAGTGGTGATGACGCATACCTTTGATCTCAGCACTCAGAAGGCAGAGGCAGGTGGATCTCTGTGAGTTCGAGGCCAGCCTGGTCTACAGAGTGAGTTCTAAGACAGTCAGGGCTACCCAGTTAAACTCTGACTCGAAAAAAAAAAACAAAAATAAATATGTTAAAACTCAGGGCTACAGAGTTAAACTCTGTCTCAAAAATATAAATAAATAAACAGATAAATAGATATAAAAAACTGTTAAAACTCAAGCACAGCCCCTTATCAGTCTCTCAGAAGTCTGGGAAACACACAAAAGCTTATTTTTTAGGGAAGTATACATCCTTTAGCCTGTGACAAAAAGCTGCGGTTACAAACATGCAACTATTCAAATACTTCATCCAGTTCTTTACCAGTAAATGTTAATTCGTCATGCAGGCAACTTTTCTCTTGCTTGAGGCGAATGATCTCTTCTCGTTGTTCATTGTTTTCTGTTGTCTTCTCATTTAGGTCCTCTTCATAAACAGAAGGGAGAAATTCCTCAGGTAAAGGCCAGCCTCTGGGAAACACAGACACTACACAAAACCTCCACATGCTCAGCAGCCCCTGAGGACCCTGCTGGGTCTACAGCTGGGCCATTCACGACTCTGGCCTGGCTTCTCTTGCTACACCCAGGGAATACAGACCAATCTTTAAAAATAAAAACTCCTTGTGTCATTTTTGGTAAGAAGCCCTCCCTGCTGCGCTCAGATAAAACCCAAATCCATTACTGTAAACGGCAAAGCCAATAGTGACATGGCCTTCCTTGTTCCCAACCTCTCTCCCTTTCTTTCTCTTGGTTCTTTGACTGCCTAAAAAAAAAAAAAAAAAAAAAAAAAAAAAAAAAAAGAAAAGAAATAATTTGGGTTTTGTTCTTCAGTCTTGGTGAATAGCTTCTGGATCTCTTGGAATTTCCTGAGTATTGATGATGATAGCACTCAGGAAGCTGAATCAGGAGGATCACAAATTGGAGGAGACCCTAGGTTATGCTATATGACAAGACCTTGTCTCAAAAGACAAAACAAAGCCAAAGGAAACAAAAAAGGGACTGTTCCAGATCCCCCCCTAGTTAGCATCTGGGACCCACTGTTCACCAGAAAGTCCTAGGCCATCAGGGCTGGAACTTCCAGTCCTACTCAGCGGCCTCCAAACCAAGGGAGGGCTGAAGACAGAGCTCTGTTAAGGCTCCAGAGGACTTGAGATGGAGAGTCCCAGATATACACACGTGTGTGTGTGTGTGTGTGTGTGTGTGTGTGTGTGTGTGTGTGTGGCGGGAGGAGGGGTATCAGGTTTGCTTTAGGAGAGGACCTTGGAGCTCTGCACATAAAGACACTTCCATCTGCAGCTCCAGAGTTTCAGCCAGCAATGGGACAAAGTGCTTCCCTGAGCCTTTGTCCATGATGGAGGCTGCTCAGGTTGTTGTAGGAGCTCTTGCTTTACTGCCAGGTGGTTGGTCAGTTGGTGTGAGGCTCCCCCGGGATTTGGGACTGGTGTCTTAAGTGGGAACAGTCTTGTGGACAGGAACCTGAAGGATGGTCACTAACACCAGGCATGTAGCATCATAAGCATCAAACTGAATTGAATGTCTGTGCAAAACTGGTAAAGGAGGAACAGAGGGTTTCTTTTCCAACAAGGAAATAAACAAATCAGGAATGGCCCCTTAAGATCCACTCTAGGCCTTCTTGTTTGTTGCCTAGAAGGTTCCCGGTGGGGTCTGGCTACAGTTATGTCTACAGCCCAATTAGAGTTCAAATGCTAACTCTTCAAATTTCCTTTCTCAGTCAACCTGGACTAAATGAGTTTCTTTCCCTTGCTCTCTGTTCTGTTTCCCATTACCCTACTTTAAAAATGTTTTAAATAAATATTGGGTCAATCAAATATTCATAATACATAAATATTGGCATGGCAGACTTCTTGAATACCCTACTTGGCATGCACACATACTCAGTAAACACTGGTGACCCACAGTGTATATCCTTGGTGTTGTGCTGACCCAAAGACAAAGAGATACAGCCTGTCCCCACTACTGCCATGGGGATTTAGCTGATGTTATAAACGGAGACGGCACTTATAACCATTGGTGAAAGCATGGTAAGGCCAAGACTATTGCATTAAATTGGTCAAGAAAAAAGTTTCAAATTTAGGAGGCAGGGTTAGGACAGGGTCATATATAGCCTAGGCTGACCTTTGAAATCCCTACGTAGTAAAGAATAACCTTGAATTAATGATCTCCCTGCTTCTACCTCTTAAGAGCGGGTACCTGTACTACTATGCCTGGCTCAACTTTCAGAGACTCTTAGTTAACAATTTAGTTTGAGAATAGGCAGCAATCCTCTTCACATTATGCTCATGCTTGACTCTGTCCAGGAAGACTAAGCCATTGTCTCTAATGATTTATTTATTTTTATTTTATGTACTTTAGTATTTTGACTGCATATACGGCCTGTATATCTGTGTGAGGGTGTTAGATCTCCTGGAATTGGAGTTACAGACAGTTGTTAGCTGTCATGTAGGGGCCGGGAATTGAACCCAGGTCCTCAGGAAGAGCAGCCAGTGCTCTTAACCACTGAGCCATCTCTCCAGCCTTGGCACTGTCTTATGAGGCATTTTGCCCTGGGCAGAGATGAGAATAACTTCCTCAAGCTGTGGCTCTGCAGCAGCCCTCAGAGGCTGACTGAGCAGTCAGTCCTCTAACCTGACCCTGTCACTGTTGTGCCCAAATCCACAAAGTCCCCACAAAAGCCAACAAGGAGACCCGTATGTAAAAACAAAGAGCCTTTATTTTAATCAAGTTTGCAAACTCGGTCTCTCTGCATGTCCAACGTATTGGAACAACCGAAGAGCCCCGAGCTCAATTAGAATTGGGGTTTTATAGTAGTAAAGGTTGGAGTGAGGGGTTTCTAAGATTTAGGACCCTTGATTGGCTGACATTTGTCTAGGGGTATCCTGGTGAGTGTGTACTGGGAGGAGGTCATATCTACAGCAGTTAGAATGCTAGGCATTTCTTTTGAATGGTCTATTTTGAATGGTGCTAGGTATCTCAGTTTGTGGTTCTTTCTGCAACCAGGCCTCTAGTTAAATTTATTGATGGCCGAGTAATGGAGGTGGGTCTTGTATCTTATCTGTTGCTTTCATTGGTTAATAATAAAGAAACTGCCTCGGCCCTCATAGGACAGAAAATTAGGTAGGCGGAGTGGACAGAGGAGAATGCTGGGAAAAGGAAGCTGAGTCAGGGAGTCACCATGATTCTCCCGCTCCAGACAGAAGCAGGTTAAGATCCTCCCTGGTAAGCCAGCTCGTGGGCTACATAGAATATTAGAAATGGGTTAGAACAATATGTAAGAGCTAGCCAATAAGAGGCTGGAACTAATGGGTCAGGCAGTGTTTGAAAGAATACAGTTTCCGTGTAATTATTTCGGGGCATAAGCTAGCCATGCAGGCGGCCAGGTGCTGGGGACGCAGCCCTGTCGCTCTTATTTCAACAGAGTGCCTCGCTGCTCATAATGCAACAGCCGAGTTCTACTCTGGCAGGTGATAATGGTTGGAAATAAAGAACTTCCTTTGGGTGACTTGCCCATATTTAGTGTATCATGGCTGGTCCTCACAGTCACCATTTATAAAACAGTGGCAGATATGAGGCTGAAACAACAGCTCCTCAGGTCCACAGTCAACTCCGCACCACACACTGGTCAACCTAACTGATGTAGGTGGATCTTCTTTCTATCTGTTGCTTTCATTGGTTAATTAATAAAGAAAACTGCTTGTCCTGATAGGTCAGAACATAGGTAGGCAGGGAAGACAGAACAGAATGCTGGGAGGAAGAAGGAAGTGAGGCAGCCGCCATGATTCTCCGACCTGAGAAGGACGTAGGCTAGAATCTTTCCCAGTAAGCCACCAACTCGTGGTGCTACACAGATTATTAGAAATGGGTTAAGCAAGGTATGAGAGTTAGCCAAGAAGAGGCTAGATATAATGGACCAGGCAATGTTTAAATGAATACAATTTGTGTGTTGTTATTTCGGGTGTAAAGCTATCCGTGCAAGAGCCGGGTGGAACAAAAAGCAGGCCGGCCTGCAGCCCTCACTACACCTAACCCTGGGGTAAGACCAGAAAGGAGTGGACCTGCTTCTAGGCCTTCCCAGATCAATGTAAACTGACACTATCACAGGTATTCTTATTCAAACACACACACACACACACACACACCACTGCCACAACATTTGGTCTATCTTTCACTAGAAAACACCACAAATCAGAAAGAAATGAATCACCGAGATACCTAGAACAAAACTAGAAAACCACCCAAAAGCCACGGTGAGACTACCCTGGTGCCTATCCCTCAGTTCCCCTGATAGGATTTTACATATTTCTCCCCCAAAGAGCTGAGCGGTTCCCCACTGACTGACTCTGGGTTTGGCCACACGACTTGCATATGAGGCAGAGTGACACTATGGCAGATCCAGGTCTAAACCTTAAAAATCTCCAATCGTTTCCGGGCTGTTGTTTTTTAAGTTTCTGCCCTCACTGTGGGAAGAGATGCTCTGGCTCGCCCGTAGGTGAGGAGAAGAGACAGCTGAAGCAGAACTGGTCTCTGAGAAGCCTGGCTGGCTCCACTCACTGGGACCAACTCACAGCTGCTGCACTTGCGCTGCACTGTTTGTTAACGGATGTGTCAGCAGCAGCTAACTGATACAGCCAAGCCAACTGAAGCAGAATTCCTTAAAAATAAGATTCAGGTCCCGTGTAATCAGATTGATGACTATCTTAATTGTCATCACAAAACCTTCAATCAGTATCTGATGAAAGCAGATGCAGAGATTCACAGCTGAGCACTGGGACAAACTCTTGGAGTCTAATCATAGAGAGGGAG